TTGCTGCGAGGGCTGATCAACTTCGAGCCGAAGTTCAGGTAAATATTGTTTTTCGTTGCTTTCCGTTAGATTCCGAATATGTTCAAATAATTCCAGAATTATACATTTGAATCGACTGATAGAAGAGAACAAAAGTAATATTCGTTGCTTTCAATTTTATTTAATATACACAAACGATTCCAGAATTACACGTTTATATCAACTGTTAGAAAAGAACAAAAGTAGTTTCACATTTTAGTCGTAAGTTATTAGTTAAAATCGAATTTAATTATATTTAGAACATTGTTGTAGAGGATATTAAGTTGATATTTATTATATATATACATAGAAAATAGTAAGTACTTTTCAATAGGAGAAATTATGTACAGATGTCCAACGTATGTCAGACGTTTTACACATATTAGATTCAAGAGATGTCAGGTGTTATCTAATATTAGCATAACGCGATATCCAAGAGATATTTTGGGTACTTAATTATTTCCGTTCTTATTCTTTGCAAAATAGGCCCTAGACGAGTTAGCACGTGCCAAAGAAATGGAATGGAACGAGATTTTGAGCATGAGAAAGTTAAAGGAGGAAGCGTACCTGAGAATTGAGAGAAGAAGACAAGTTATGGGATTTATGGAGGGCAATGGACAATTAGCGGACACATTGCCACCAGCTAGTTTAGCGCTGGGTCCTGAATGGGAAAGTAGCGGTAATACTACTCCGGTATCCAAAGAAAAATTGAGTTTCGGTTCTAAGGAAGATCTGCCTGAAGAAAGTTCTCAAGATTCGCCAGCTTTCAAAAGAGAAAAGGGCTCGAAACAAGCGTCGCAACGCCAATCGACACCACCCAAACAAAGTGGAGAAAATGGCCGGAAACAGGCAGAAGCGCTTAGTCCGGAGAATAGACAAATCGGCGAAGGTCGACAAGGTGCCATTGTCGACGTTAGATCTATCATTGCTGATTACAGACTCAGGCATCCTGAAACGGTACCGCGCAGGTAAGCATAGAATATCAGAATATGCAAATCAGAAAGTATACTACATCAAGTCCTATCAAATCTTTTGATTGACTGATTTCTACTATTTTATATTTGAACAAAGTTTGCACAAGGATTTAAGTTTCCGGGAATAGAAATTTCTCGTGCTTGTGAGATTTATAAAAATTAAATATCTTGAACTGTTACAGAGGTCGAAGAATGAGAAATTCGGTGAATGTTGGCCTTGGAGCTGGTGGAGCTATGGTCGAAACGGGTCACAATGTTGATTCAAGGCCTTCTAGTACAGACTCTTGTAAAAGCAACTCAAACACAGTTGATCCAAATAGTGCTATGAGCTTTAAGGATGTGCTTGTACAGTTTGCCAAATTAAGTCAACAACAAGGTATGTAATTGCGTACAAAGCCGCACAAAAAAGGACCTTATTCTAAAGGAAAATTTTGAGGTTCCAAGTTTAGAAATTGACTTAACTCTTTCGTAAATGTTATCGTAAATGTAAATCGAGCAAATTATTAATTATTTTCATGTAAAATTGTTACAGGTGAACCTGTAAAAACTCCTCAAAATTATCCGGATGTGACGCTTCACCCCGTCGCTCCATCTCCAGCGCCACAAAATACTTCACCTCAACAGAGTGGTTCATTACTTCATGGAATTCTCACGAAATCACAATCTCCAAGACCTACTACTTTTTCACCTACTTTAGCTAGATTACTCACCGCACCTGAAAGAGAAAGGAATGCACCAACAGCCGCGTCCATGCCACAGCAAAGTGCGGCAACCCAGCACCTTTTGCAGTCATATCAAGGCTCTAATCCGGTTTCTATCAGTGAGCTCCTATCTTCTTCCAAGGTATTTTATTTTTTTTTTTTATATATAAATCAAACTTTACTCATATTGCATATACAAATTAGCTTAGTATGTTGACGGTACTAATATCATTTACTTTAATATCTTTAGGCTCGAACTGAAATAACGATAACACCAGTGATCAACACTCCGGTTCAGTCTCATGTGGTAAGTGTATACTATAATATGGGATATATATTTTTGCATTTAATGTGGAATATATAGATACATTTTAAAAATATTTTTCTTTGTAGGACGATGTTGAAGAAGAGTCAGCAGTAATCGAAGATAGAGAGACTCGTATTTCTTCGGGTGGCAGGGATGCTAGAGAGGATAGAGATAGTCCGCCACGATGTCAAGGATGTCATGAACGTGTAGCACAGTTCGTATGTGCTGGCTGCGGTCATCAGTGGTATTGTAGTCGTGAATGCCAAGTAAGATTTAAAGCTTATCTCATATGCAATGTTTAATAAATATCGTGCGTGAAATATAATGATCAAATTATATTACATTGATTATTGATAAAATTAATAATTTCAGGTAGCTGCCTGGGACGAGCATTCGGAAGTGTGTTCTGGTTAAGGGATGAGCACATATATTAATGTAAACCTTCCGTTTATTCGTGGTATCAGATTACATACCCTTTTAACTAAGAATGAATCTAGTCAAAACAAAAATAGGCGAGAGCGTAACACGTTTTGAGTACGATAAGAGGAATGGAGAAACAATGAGAAAGCATTATATATTTTTAAGGACCTTAAAACATGTTTAATCTGTAAAAAATAAGTTTTATTTCTTTAAAGAGAAGAAAAGGAATCGCCATGATAACGGCGCTTTTCACGAAAGATGAGTATTTACAAGAATGAAAGCATAAGACTTTGGGCACCTTGACAAAGAAAAATTAGGAATCAAGTTGTGACGATCGTTGCTTCACTGTAATCACCGCGTTGCTTTTATTCGTTGTCAGTTCCGAACGATCGTGATATCTTCACGGAAACAAATAGAGAGTATTAACCCTGCTAAATTAAGCATTTAACGTGTATCTTTCAAAGGACAAACTGTTCGTGGAATTCCTAACGTAATAGGAGTTCATGTTGGGTATAAACATTCGTAACAACTTCGTATATCAGATACGTTTTTTAGACCTTAATCAATGCATGACGTACAATGTACGCTAGTCGAAAATTTTCAACTTTTTCCAAACAAAAAAAAAAGGGATGATACCAGAACTAGCTGGTATGTGTTCTTGTAACGAGAAAGAAAGCACAAAACTGTATCTCGTGATGCTGTACATAATTTTATACGTGTTAGCAGGGTTGTTTAGCGTAAAATTTTAAAAGGTTGGTTAACCGTGTGCCATGCGTAAGATTCGTTTCATGGTCAGCTTTATATGTTAAACAAATTTAAGTTGTAGACTATTCGAGTGTTTTTATAATTTCATCATTTTTGCTTCGTTTCTCTATTTTCCTTTCCTTTTTCGTTTCCTTTTTTAACTACGTCCTATTCTTTTACATTAAAATACTATCGCATTTGATGATAAAAATGCAAAGTATACACGGACGTTTTAGCTTTCATGTATTTTTCGACGTTCATTTGAGAAACAGCACGTACAATGCGTACTGAATATTATATTTTATATCACGTTTGTTACCAACGTATAAATTTAGATTTAATGAAGTGTTAGTCTTAGTGTAGATTTAAGATACTTCTTTTTTCTTTTTGCAACTTGTTCGTTGGTAACATATTTGACATGTCTTGAGTTCATTTTTTTCTCCTTTCTTCTTTTTTTTTAATCAGCATGTTACCTAAACGACAATTGCCCTAGACATAATCTGTAGTCCAAAGTTCCTACAGGTACACGTAACTTTATATATATTTTTCCCAATTATAAAGCAACCAAAATAAAGTTTTTAATCATATTTTCATGAATTTTTACTATCTCTAAACCAGATGCATGCTGCAAATGTATTAACTTTCCCACTTTTCTTGAATAAAAATAGCGAGGTTGATCTCAATCTCTCTAACATATTTTTAGTTCTTGCAATACTCAGTTCATGAATGTCAATGTTTTTTTCATTGTTTTTCTATCTTTATTCTTTAAAGTTTCATAGTGATTACTTTTATTTTTATAAAATATTTTATGTAATTTTAAATAATGGTTGTATAAATATATATAAATTTCATATATTAAATAACATGTATGTAATGCAGATAATAAATTATATAATTAAATGCAATAAAATATATGAATTATTCATATAAAATATTAATTTATATTTATTTTGGATCACTGTTATCATAATTTACTAAAAAACTATTGGCGGCACTGCTACAGCGTTGTGTAGAAGGACAGATTTACGCGGCAAACTGTTTCCGTATCATAAGACTTTTTTTGTCAATAGAATGACGTTTCCACAAGCTCATCAAGTTGAATTGATAGCACTGGCCGAACTAGCAGGAATTTCAGCAGTTCCAGGAGTTTATCGGTAATAATTTATGAATTATACAAATATAACCTATACGATTGTATGTGAAAGCTTTAGTAAGATATAGCTAAAGAGATAAGCTCTTATATGCTATAAATGTCAGCATTTCATAATATATGTAATATTTATCTAAACGCAATAAGTGCAAAATTTGTTAACGCCGTAAAAAAATAAACAAATATAAAAAATAAAATCTTATTTTGATTAGTTGATAATAGTTAAAGCTATTGTGATTTCAAGAAATTATTCTTTCAGAATCATATTGGAATTATTGGCTCTTCAAATATCTCCAGAGGATATATACGTCCTTTTAAAGCAAATATGTCCTCGACCAACAGAAAACCGAGCTGTTGATAATATTGAAGGGGTACCTAATGTAACTACAAATTAATACGCATAATATAATTTAACACAATTTACTACAACCAATACATATTTTTATATAATTATTATATTATATGATTATTATTTATGATTATTATATTATAATTATTATTATTTATATGATTATTATTTATAAAATGTGTTATAAATATGTTGCAAACATCTTAATTTTTACATTAATCTAACAAGAAATTTTACATTATTTTTCATTAAAATCAAATATTTTCTATATAATCTAAGGTATCTTAAAATGCATACAAGAATACACAGTGTAATTTAATTGTAAACATACTGTAAATATTTAAGTTATTGATTAAAAATACATATATTTAATGACTATTTTGTGAATATTACATATGAATGTTAGACATATTTTAAACTTCCTGCCCGAGCTAATTTATCAGCCATTTCATTACCATAAATTCCAACATGACCATTGACATGATTCTGAAACGTTAAAGTACCAATATTCATGAGCTATAAAATATAAGATTAAGGCATTAAGTACTAATAAAATAATCATATATTACTTACCCAAACCACGTTTAGAGGTTTTAAAGCTTCTTCCATTTCTATTAGTTCATTCTTATTTATAACAGGTTTGTTATTTGAAGTAACCCATCCTTTTTTTTTCCAGCTATGTATCCAATACTTTATGCAGTTGATAAGAAATTGGGAATCTGTATTAATCTTCAAATTTGTAATACCTGCCTTTCTTGCTTGTCTAGCAGCTACAGTTACAGCCATAATTTCTGCATTGTTGTTAGTTGCTCGACCAACAACAGCTTCCGATACATTTCTACGGTTAACATTTTTAAACAGGATATTTACATTGAATTACACATTAAATATAACTGAAAGATATATTGTAACTCACAGAGGATGACTGTCACCAAACCAAACACCTATACCAGCCTTTGCGTTTTTTCTCCCATTTGCAGTACATGCACCATCCGTATATACATTGACAAAACCATCGCCATCCACAATGAAATTTTGAGTTAAATCCTAAAAAATTAATGATATAGTGAGATAAATATAAAAATCCATCTATAAAAATTATATGTGAAACTCCATATAAAATATTTTATCTTACACTTACTTTATCTATCCGTATATTTTCATATTTTGTTGAACTTGTCGTTTTTAGCCTTTTTGAACTTGGTTGTCCGGTATCAGAGTCTGTACCTTTGTTAATTTGTATTTGTCGTCTAAAATTATTTTCCAATTAATATATTCATCTATGTACACTAATATGTTAAAATTGTGTCATACTTTTTACCAATTATAGGTAATGCACCTTCCACGTCATTTTCTTTATTTGCTTTCTCATATTCTTCAATGAAGCTGCGTGCTTCTGTTTCTGTTTTAAATTTTTTAAATACAGATCCAGAAAAATGAAGCACTTGTTCATGACATTTAGGCCTTATTTGATAAGAACAGTGAAATACAATTTTTTTGAAGTAGATTTAAAACAATGTATTAATGCATACTGAATGTAAAAATTTGTTACCAAGTATGATAAATCCCAGGTTTACGACCTTTGGCTACTGCATAATAATATTTGGTGGTCATATTTTTTAATATACTCAAATACTCAAATCTGATTACTGTCATTTAATTGTACAATTAATTTATGATGAATACTGTTTATATATTAACTGATTTTATGAAAGTTCGCACATTTAGAGAGAAATATTTCACATATACACAGTAAATTATTCCTATAACAATACCATAAAGTATGTATTATATATTTTACAATCATATAAAGCATATAACAAGATTTAAACAAGTACAAAAAATAACTAAAATCTAAGATTGTGCAATCATATAACACAAGTCTGACCATTCATATATTGAAGGCAAAGTGGTGAATGCCCACTGAGTGAGTGTTAACTTGAGAAAGCATCTCGCGTGAAAAATTTACAGTACATATAGCACCTACCTATTTGTACATAATCATGCATGGCTATATAAACTTTATAAATTAATTATTAACTTTTGTTAAACATTACATTGTTTTGGCTTCACCTAGAGGCCTAGAGATATATTTTCCTCTAGCGAGTATCCAGACCTGTCTTTTTTTAGTGGACGGGTAAAAGACAGAATAAGTCAAATTTTGGTAAAAACAGAATACGCTAATGTATTCTACATTGCTGCCTTTTGCTTATGCTTCTAATAATAATATAAGTCAATTTCATTTCTTTCTCGCCTGTTTACTTGAGATTTTAATAGTATATTCAAAATCTAACATTTAATCTTATTACTATTTACTTTAAATACCATACATTTTTCTGTGAAACAAATAATTCTGACTTATACTCTTTTGCCTTTAGAGTTTATAATGTTATAGCTAGGCTGTGGATGCTTATACATTTATATTAAAATATAGTATATAGTGGGCAAAATAAATTTTTGTGTAGATTCCGCTTTTTTATTTATGTTTGTAAAAATGTAAATCTGTGCAAACACAATCATAACTTATAACATATAAACATCATATAAAATAAACCGAATGGAATAGTCAACAAGTCCATATTAATTCCGAAATTATCATACTTATAATTGATAATGATAAATTGGTATTAGTTTAACTACTTATAATATAACTATTAGTTTAAGCTACTTATAAATAGATTATATCTTTAACCATTTAAATTTGAATCACAAACAATAATCTGATACTTTATTTTTGATGTTATATATAAAGACAATATACATACCGATATATATGTGTCAAATAGAAATGTTCTTTTCTTTGTCTCAAATTTAAATTATTATTTTATTATATTAACTTTACTGTAATTATTACTGTGTTTTCGTACTTCTTACTCTTCTACTTTTTTCGTCATTCTCTGGTATTGATTACGTATCAACACAACTTATCTAACCTTTTCCCGTAATTGAAAGCAAAGATGAGTAGGGATATCGCCAATCAACACGCGAGAATTTAGCCAAAAATACGATCCATGCATTACCGTCTCCAATATCCAAACGGTCGAATTATATACACATTTCTTCCTTCGGCAGTTTTGCTGGGAGAAACGTGCGTATACAAACTTTAGCCGAAATATTAACTAATTGCAAGTATATCATCGGTAGGTAAAAGTAGTCGCTTGGCTCTTAGTGCCGATTCGAAAACGAGCTTTCCAATTCCAATAACTTCAAGAAATAAGTTATAGAATATGACAAAAAGGTTGGAGGAAATTGGTAAGTATTGGTAAGTATTAAAAAAATAAAATACTATAAGAGGTATTCGGAAACTTGCGAAACTACTAAAAACGACATCATTTTTTGAGGAAACCACGAGCACAAAACTTGTTAGTAAAAATAATAATTTTATATCAGAACATGATAGCACAGAAGATGTTACAATTTTTCCGGTTCTTGAAACTAACATCATATTTCAGAAATTTGTCGAAGTTGAGAATTTTGAGATTTTGACGAAAACTTTGAAACGATTTTGCAACTTTATATTAAGAGAACATGACTGCATAGGAGATGGTACAATTGAAATGAAATTATATCAAAAATTAGAATGTAGGAACATAAGAATTTATCGAAGTTATAATTTTCGAGTTCTTGAAGAAATTTTTCGTAAAGAATATCCATGTTCTATCAGCAGAATATAATCTTGTAAAAGATGGCACTATTACAATTATTGTTGGAATTTGACATGATTTCTCGGTATGTGCGAATACTATTTCGTATTCTTTTTTAATACGATTCTTCTTGCAACGTCGCGTGTTTTTAATTATTTTCCGATGTATCATACATATCTGTATGTATAGTATACATACTGTATAATCATTTTCAGAAAGATCATTACTGTTGGTTGTTGCTATCTGTTACTCGCGTTGATGGCTGCTTGTGGTATCGCCTGATTATTATTTTCATTCGCAAAGTGGCCTTGTTGTAATTGTTAGAGAAAAAACAATGTACTGTTAATATTTGATTAAACTGTAAGCAATTTTTATATTTTGTTCATCCTTGCCGATCGTTGGTAACCCTTCATTATGCCGCGCCGTCGATACGAATGCGTTTTCCTTCTTGTTTTTCTCACCAACAGCAACAGAAACGAAATGTGCATGTAATTCGGTCGTTGGCCGCTAGAAATTCTCATTTCTAGCATATATTTTTTGGTTGAATTTTTTAACATTGGAAGCACGCTATGGACCCGTGTTGTGAAATTGTGAACTACGGTGGTCTGTGAACTCAACTATATGTACCTATGCTTACAGTCAATTAAGCCTTTAATACTATTATTATGTTATTGAATATTTTCTTGAACTTTTGTGCAAACATTGAAATCGATACCATACATACTGAAAGTGACATGTGTATTTGGAAACAACTTATAAAGTCACAATCTTTACTGTAAAAAGTGTCTTGGGTCTAACCAGTTGGATAATTTCAGAAAATATTTCGAAGTATTCTAACACGAATATATTAATTTATTCAAATACAATATTATCGATTTTTTTGAGGTATTAGTACAGAAATATATTTTTAAAAATTTATGTTGTAATTTCTATATGTATATCTAGTGTAACAATTTGAATTTTGAAATAAATGTCGGCTGTGAAAAAAGAACATAAAATGATCTTTATGTCGTTTGTTTCACAAACAGATAATTATTAATCAAACGTTGCGATATAATTAAAAGTTGATGGGATTAATCAATCAAGCGTAAAGGAGTAAAAGGAAAAGTATAAATGTATTTAGTATATTGAAATAATAATTATACACGAGCCAAGTTATCTACACGTTCTTTGTTGTACATTGTTCTCACATTCTCTCTAAACACAGTCTAAGATCATGTTCTTTTCCCTAATTCACTCTTCCCTTTTTGGTTAACATATGGCTTATGTACGATACAAATATATTATATCATATTGAAAACTTGTTTTTATGCAAAAAGATATTTGAAATAATATAGTTCAACATATAAGACAATGTTACAAAGTTTTGTATAATTAATCGAGTTATGATTATTTTTAGACAACTATGAAAAATTGATATAACTGGAAAATATTTCTATGCTTACAACTACAACAAAAGATTTTATATATTTTTGTAATAATAATCTGAATTGTAATAACATATTTTGTCGCTATAAAGAATTTATATGCCCATTACAGTATGGCAAGTACAAAGGTATATTTTCACAGAATAGGTCCTTTAATTCTTAATGCATGAATGTAAATACCTTCTTCACTGATGTTAAATATGTTTCTGTTTATCATTAGAAAAACAGTAGTTGGTTGATGTCATCATTTGAATGTGAACCTATCAAAAGAACACCAGGGATTAAACGTAACATTTCACAAGTACTAGAAACTAGTGCTTTAGAAGTATCAAGCACTTATGATATAATGCCGAAAAAAAAGAATGCTAATAGCCTGTTTGCATTACTGGAAGCCTGTGACGCACGAAGCCCTTCTGAATTAGTAGTTAGTAGACAAAAACAGCAAGAGATTCTAAATTGGTTACAATATAAAGTAAGGAAAGGCACACCTGCCATATTAATTTTATCTGGTCCATCTGGTTGTGGGAAAACAACAGCTCTAAGGGTTCTTGCAAGAGAAAATGGTTTCAATATTACAGAATGGATTACTCCTATTGATCAAATTATGGATGAAAATAGTAATTTCTTTCTTTCTCAAACCAATAAATTATTAGTAATATCTAATAAAATGACGAAATAATTCTAAATTTTTGTTCAGACAGAATAATGAGACAAGGAGACAGATTTGAAGAATTTTTAATCAGAGCTACCAGATATAGTTCAGTTTTAAGTAATTATTCTAGTCGTTTACTTCTTGTAAAAGATTTTCCAAATGTCTTTTATGAGGAGAAGGAGAGTTTCTTTTCTCTTTTGCAGTAATTAGAATTATTTATTTTTTCTTTTGCCATTTTTATTGAAATATAGTTATTATAAACTTTAATTTTTAGAAGGTACTTTGAAATTGGAAAAGAACCTATAGTGTTTGTATGTACAGAAGTAGGAAATTCAAAATTGCTTCAAACATTATTTTCTCCTAATATAAGAGAAAAATTTGGCATAGATTTAATTAAGTAAGTTTCTAAATATAATTATGTATTCATGATCTGTTCTTCTATGATATATATTTGATATAGAACCTTTATATTTTAGTATAAACTCTGTTACACAAACTGCAATGAAAAATGCATTAAAAAGAATAACTAAGATTTTGAATTCAATTGCTGGGCATATGTTACATGTTTCACAAAATAAAGTTGATGAAATATTATCAAATAGCATAGGAGACATTAGAAATGCCTTGTTAAATCTAATTTTCATTTCATTAAAAGGTAAATATAATAAGTTATAATAATACGCTTGATTTCTAAATGACATCTTAATATCATTAGTACCAGAAGAACGAGAAAATAAATGTAATATTCGAGAAGAGTCTTTAGGGCTTCTTCATGGTGTCGGGCGAGTAATTAATCCAAAAAGTGAGTAGATATTTTGTGTACATTAAGATTTGAAGACTTGCTGAATAAATAAATTTACAGGAATTCAAACTGAAAACAACTGGAAATTTGTACATGATCCTGATGAAATAGCAGCTTTCTTCCAGTCACAAGCAACAGTATTTTTGAACTTCCTGCAAGAAAATTATTTGAATACTATGGGAAACATAGAGGAAGTAGATATTTCTACAAATATTTTAAGTATAGCAGATGTTTTAAATTCTGAGTGGCGAGTACGTTTATTATTTATCGTTCAATTAAAAAAATTGTACATTTTGTTTCATACACAATGAAAACATCAGTATTGATATATATATACATTAAGTAAAAAAAGTTATAATAAGAACTTAATTAAAAAAATTAATATTAAAATTTTCAGGATTCAACCTTAAATAAAGTTATTTTATCTTATTGCGTCCGAGGTTTAATGGTAACGAACCAAAAACCCGTTTCTGGGTGGAATCCTGTAAGAAAGCCACCAAGTGATAAAATCGATGCGTTAGTATAATTAGCATAGAAACTTATAATATTTAATGCACTTGTAATTGTAATATATGTATGTAGCATTATATATGATAGATTATATATATATAGATAAATACATAAATGTAACATTATCTATATAGGCACAAATGTCTGGCAGCTGCCGAAATTCGATGGTACGATTCCATAATCAGTTCAAAATCGAAAAGTACATTGGAACAACCCGTTACCAACATCGAGGAGATTATTATTCAATAAAGTTCATGGATAATAAGGTTGTAATGAAGAAAGATGTATCGTATATATTTATTTATGCTTTATTTTCTACTAGAATCATGTAAATGTAAAATATAATATCGATAGAAATCGAATGACACAAATTTGTTTGAGATTTCTTAATTTTCGAAATGTTTGTATATATCGTTGAATAATATTATTTCATACTATTATTTATTTTGCTTAACATCGTCTAATATATAACAATCAGTATTTACGCAGAAAAACAAATGTTAGCGGGAATTACACTGATAAATACAATAAAAATACGTTTTGTGTAATTTATACGTCTTAAACGAAATGCTTTATTATAAATGTTCTTTCTACTAAAATTGGCAGTTAGACAACAAAATAATTTAATATAAGATTGTTACTCAGAATTGTTCGACGTAGCGAGTATTTTATTCAAAAAATAGACCTTACAATCTAACTTTTCTTCATAAATAATTATTCTAAACGATTATACTTAGTTAACACTATATTTGTACATCAATGTAAATTTTGTACGCTCACTAAATATGCTGTAAAGCGATGTTTATCAAACTTCTTTTCGGTTAAAAGTAGTTCATAGAAAAAATGCAACAACAAGCAGTCTTCCGCCTCAAATACCTTGTATTAGCGTTTTGTTTTAACGTATTTAAATACATAATTTGTATTTTATAGGCAGTCTCATCATTTTTAATTCTTTACAAAGACCAATGATAATTATACACAGAAGTATAGGTATTAATGTTTTTAATATATCAATCGTATCAGAAAATATCTGCAAAATATGCGATGGAATTTTTCCAAAGAGAAAATTGGACATTTTTTATTTAGTTTATTGAAGCAAATAAAGAAAATAACGATAGCCGTTATTAGGATGACACCAATATAGGATATTCATGTAAGTTGATTTCACGAATGATATAGTTATTATACGAGAATTACGCGTTTGGAAGATTCACTTCTTCTATCGTAGAAATAAGATTATCGAGACCAAATAAAAAGCCTTCTTCGTGGTTGCCTTGTTCCCATGGTTTCCTGTGCGTCACTCTATGTCCATTTGGCAATCCTCGTGTTTTAGCAAAATCGATCAACCAAACGCCAACTTTATCATCGTCGTAGATCATAAAAATACTACTACCAATTATCTGGAAAAGAAATAATGTACGTTGTATCGTTTATTTGTTCTCCTAAAATTCTGTTAAAAAAAATTTTTAAAAACGAAAAGAGAGCAATTCTTTTTTAACTGTTTTGATGTTCCAAGTATTTAATCGCGTATGTACAATTAATACATACTTCGTGAGTTTTGAAGTATTCAGACATCTCGATCTTTGAACGAAGATTTTTCAACCGTGCGAGCAGTTTTTCGCGAGTGTTCTCGCTTGTTCCAAGAAATAGATTCATAGTTTCGAGCACTTCCTGGTGTGACTTTACTTTCTTTAGGTCGGTGATCGGCGGACCACCGGGTAATTTCATAGCCTCAATTCTAAATCCGTGACTACAGGTCGAGCTCTGTTGCTCACGGAACTGCATGTACCGCAATTTAGTCACGGCACGTTGCTCGTGTTCTTGCTTGGTCGGAGCACTTGGATCAACGGCGATCATCTTTTGATATAGATCCGGTCTAGCGGTCGTCTTTGACACTTCCGATTCCAGGAACGTTCTCGTGCCCATCTTGATATCCATTACGTGCGGATCGTTGAAACCAAATAGTAAATCCTGTAGCTCTATGAACGTGTCACCTTTGTATTCCACTTCACGATAGTATCTAAAACATGAAAATGAAACGCTTTAAAATTAGATAGATAAAATGTTTTTTGACGATTATATCATTATATCGTTATATACTATTATAAGTAATTTACATTAAGAGATAACTAATCGGACGAAACTTTATCGGAATTTATAGCCTGTCGAAAAAATTGTTTGGTGTTAAAATGTTAAAATTGTTTAATTTCATTACAGCTTATCAATTACATATATCAATCGGTCTAAGCTTCGTTGATAGAAGATTACACGATAATTTACGTACTATTTGATAACATTCAAGTAGCTTTAATCCCCTTTAATTGTTGGTATATACATTTCTAAAAATAGTAAGATGCCTTTCTTCTTATTTGGAATTCTCTTTCACAAAAACTATATGCTATATTTATCATATATTTGAGACAATGAAACTTCTTACTTAAGTAATTATTGATTCATGTATTTTATTTACCTTGGAATGCAATCCCGTAATTCCTTGTCCTTGCTAAGGGCTTCGTAAACAATTCTCTCTGTATTTTCTGCTCCTCCAGTTTTTCTCTTCCAAACTGTTCCAGGCCCAGCGGGAGCGAAACCATCCGGATGCCCGGATAATTGAAACCAGGATTTTAATCTGTTCTTCAACAGAACGTCACTGGCTGGGGCTGTTAAATCCAAGGCGTTCTACAAGAAACAAATTTTCATATAAATACAATTAATAACTAGATTCCAGATATAATTAGTTCTTAGCAATGATAAAGTTTACGATAAAACTATATTCATAATTTGTTTATTTGCAGCTATTTAACAATAGATAATGCATACATGTAAAAGTAAACTACAATTGGACATTAGTATATATTATACTTTTTCAACAGATAATGGATCTTAAACGTATCGCTGTGATAATAGTAGTAATGGTAATAACAACAGTCAAATAGTAGTAGTAATAATGCAATTTTGTAAAATTACGTTGCAACATTTTAGAATTTCTGAATATTTTACGAATATCAATTATATTTCAGTAGATAGGATAATTCATTGTTGCTTGTTGTTATTTATATAATTATCTTATGTATTTCGAACGTGCTAGTTATTTCTTAGATGAAGACTTTACCAAGGATGAATTTCTGCACGTCGATGTTCCCCGTTACATAGCTGTCAGACGTTTCGCTTTCAACAGTATCTCTACAGTGAAATATAATTGAGTAAAATAACGTTTAGGATAAATACTAAAAGTAAACGATGTCAGATAAAGGAATAACATTTCACTTTCGTATAGTTCGTTTCTTTTATACGAACAATAAATATATACAAATATATACATTATATCGGAGAAACAACGTTTAAAATGGAAAGCATTCTATTGTATTATCCCTTTGTTAAATTCTTAATATTTATTAGCGCGTACGCGTACAAATTTTTCTATATTTTATTTCAAATTAAAATTTATCGAAAATAGCGATAGAGATTCCATTTCACTGACTACTCTCAATTATTAACGATTCGACGTTTTTCATTAGCGAAAAAGTATAAAACGAGAGGATGAATACCAGCGCTAAAAACTTCAACGAAAGATCCTCTTCTGGCATAGTGGTATCGGAAAGGACCAGTGGAAACTGTTCCATTTTTTGTATGGTCGCTGCATCATTAGGCAATTTGGCAAGGGCTCCGGTCGAGCTAGATCCAACACTGTTGGACCGATTCGAGCCCATAGAAGTGCCCCTTCGCCATTGACGGAAGGCGCTGTAAGTGCTGCTCGACGAAGCATCCTTCTGCCTTCGATGTTCCTTGTGGTTCGAATTATGATTCAGTCGCGTTTGCTCTTTGCTCGAAGGCTGTAACCAAAAAAATCTACTAAGAATTTAATCTAGCCGATACGATTCTAGTTGAAATCGTTGCTCGATTATTTCGAAATTAATCTCTTTAATAATTTCCGTGTTCATTCAGAGTTCAAAGATATTTTATCTTCCTTAAGTATTATTACACTTTGACTACTGTATAGACCGTTTGATAAGAGAGAATTATTCATTTATACGGATATTAAGACTACGGATTTTTATGGATTTATAGAAAATTTCGAAGCTACAAAATTATATCGAATACCCAAAATATAGCACTTGCTATAATATTTAGCAATTAAACAAATATTTTCTACCTAGATTAAAGTAAAAATTCGCATAAATATCTACTATTTATTATACTATAGTTTCGCGTTATATCGTACACATATATCCTCTTCACTTTCATTAAATATAAAACATTTCGTTTGCAAAGCACACGTAGCTGTTATATAATGACATTTTTACTGCCCTCAAGAAGGAACGAATTTATAAATGAAAAACACGATTAAACTGCGTCGTTTAACTGTACGAAAAGGATATTCGGCATTTATTTGCAAAATTCGACGCAGCTGAGTAACAGAATATCGAGCCTCGGCAGCATAACGTCGGAACGATAGATATTCGATTATACCAAAAACGACCGTAGTGAAACGTGTGGCCAAAAGTCCAATGGATTTCGAAAATAAATTTACACACCTCCTTTCTATAAGATAAAAATAGTGTGCGATTGTTACGCGACTCGTGCATTTTGTAATCAAACACCGGTTCATATACGAAGAGGGGAAAACACGAGGAATGCCCGTGTCTCCTGATTTTCCAATTTACAACACATTTCCTTCGCGAGAACCGAAGTTGCTGAACTATCAAATCGCAACGATTATAAATTAAATATCATTACTGACTAATAAAAAAAAAAAAAAAAAAGAAAAGGAGAACAAGGAACGTCTACTGTAAAATAAATATTTTGTTAATCATTCTTTTTTTACGACCTCTAAGTTCCTTTTCTATTCTAGTGGATTAAAACATTAATTTTCTCGATAAAAGCTATTCCGTGGCATTCCTTGTACCTTGCCTTGCTCTTCGTATGAAATCGAACGTATCCTTCGTTCGTCAATCGAAAGCGACTGAAGCAAGGAGTAAGGAGAGCGTGCAGCAGGCGCAATGCACATGCCCGCACGTGGTCCAGCGCACGCAACAAATCGAAATCCATCGGCAAGCGTCGTTAATTGAGTTTAACGAGTGGCGAGCGTCTCGTGCTAATTGCCGCAACGCCATTCATAAATAATCCAATTAAGACGTGTCACGTGTATTTTTCGCTGCGAGTGTCAAGCGAGTCGCGATTGTAACAATTGAACGGTCGACGCGCGTAATGTTCGGATAATTGCGTGTAAATTGGTAGCCGGAACTAGACACGCGGAACATATATATACATATGTATATATACGCGTAGAGAGCTGATAGAGTGTAAATGGAATGTAAAATGGAAGGAAACGCGTGGTTACGAGAATAAGTCGTTCGTATCGACAGAGTTTCTCTAAGGACCTTTAAGTAAGTAATTTCCGATAAACCTGACGTTATCTAACGTCGAACAATTTATCGGAATTTTATATCTTCCTAAGGGTAATGTAAGTTGATAAGTTTCGTTTTTAGGATAACAGGCACGAACTTTTGATCTTTGGTTTTGTCACGGAAACTGATAAAAAATCGAGCATGTAATTGTAACAATGATTAATCAATCAGCAAGAAAAATCGATCAGTAAGGCGTCGATAACGATTTTTCTTTCCTTCGATTAAATGTTTAATGGTTTTACGCATAGATTACTACCTGTTAAAATACAATATGGACGAAGATCTTTCTCTTTATACCGATAGATAGATACCCATAGATCAATTTATAAGGAATATATCCAGTCGTTCTATTTTTAGTTTACCATTCCGATACATAGTTACGGTACTATCTGTTCGATATAGTAGTATTTTTGTCGAATATTTTCAACGTAGAATAAATAGCGTGGCTGTTCAAAACAGCTGGTTAATAGCATGATGAGAAGCGTGCTTCGATCGGACAGGTGGTTCGTCGTGGAATTCGATTTCGCGATACGCCATTCATTTTAATTTAGTCGACAAGGTCCGAACGTGAGGACATGGCAAAATTATACCTTGCAATTCCCCAATGTGATTCCATATTACAATGGCGATTGAGATTGGTGGCGAATCGAATGATCGATCGACGTTGTTTTTGAATTGAGCTGAGTTAACGATTGTTTGTTCGAACGATTGTAACGTTGAGACGATAATACATACATTTAACGTTCTTTGATCAAGAAATATAAAGTAAGAACTACACGGTGATATTGCTACACATTTATAAAGTTCTACGACAAATTGTATATTTGTGTACACAGTAAATTACAGAAATCTACATACATCCTTTAGATAGAAAATATTATAGTAGAAATTCTTTTCGACACACTCAGACGCATATTAAGTTAAAATGTAACGCAATTTATTTACTTTCACCTTTATTATGAAAAAAGAAGTAAGAAAAATATAAAATACAATGTCATAGGAATCACGTGTATTCTTTGTATCTACGCGAAATCATACAAATGACGAGTTTAATGTAATATTAAACTTTATAGGTCTTCTTACTGACATTGAGAAAAGGAAAGGTTTCGTAACTTCTGACGTAACTTTATCTCAAGATATTTTCGAAATAAATGTTTTAATTTTATATTTCTCTTAGAAATTCATTAACGCATTAATGGCAATTGTATTGCCACGTAAGCATAACAAATTTTATTGCAAAGTGTATTTTTATTTCCTCTGCTAAATCACATACGCAAAATTCTATAGATAAATTTTTCTAACTCGTTGATACACATATGGTGGTTAGTAACTGGTGGTACAAGCGGAAAGGGGGTGATTCTACGCGAAAAAACAAGTCGAAAATATAGAATAAAAATTTGTCGTTCGAGGCTTTGTTTTCGAGAAAATCGACTTTGAATTTTCGCTCGGTACGCCTGCACTTTATCGCGTCTCGTTATAACGGATCTCACTGTAGATCGTTGTCTCGATGGAAAAATTAAAAAAAAATTTTCATTCTATATTTTCGACTTCTTTTTCGCGTAGAATCATCCCCTCCCCGCTTGTACCACCAGTTACCAACCACCCTGTATATATATCAATTAAAAAAGAAAGAAGAAAGGAATTTAACCATTTCATTTGAAATAATTTAATGCATCCGATTGACGTTGGCTCGTCACCGTGATCCGCGTTGCTCGCATTTCAAATGAATATATACGAGGGTCGTTACACTGTGCGTAACCAGCCAGTATATTTGATCGTAGTAAACAACCACGTGGCAATCAAGGAGATTCGAATTGCGCTGGCGCAACAGTTATTGTCACGATGAGAATTACGTCAAATGCTAGTTAGATGACCGACTATAAATAACCATAGAAAAGCAGAATATTTTGCGAATAAAACAGAAAAGTACACCATTCTTTAATATTAGATGTCTGCTTGAACAATCGGCAACGCGCGTGTATAACGCGATGCGAGGTAAAATGTAACTTACAATTTCCAGTAATTTTACCATTTGCGTTCAAATATAGGTGGACTAGGCGTTTTTAAAATGAAAATTTGATCAACGGTATAATGTATCTCGTTTCTCGTTGCAAACGTATCGTTGCTTGGGCAGATTTTGTTTGTGTCACGTAATTATACGTTTGAAGAGTCATGAGTCAGTGCGACTGATTATGGCAAACACGATGATAGTTTCAGACAATAAAACTGTCGTTATTCGATCCTATTATTGGTGCGGTATTTCACAATGGTATATTTTTTCGTTTTTGACGCGACGTAGAAATAAAAATTCACCACGGTTCTTTTATGTTTTTACGTATCGTGTCTACGTGGTTTATAAATCAAATTTCTCTGTTCGATCAAAAGGATATAAATACGAGCTTACGACGTAACGATAATTTGCAAATTAAATTTTTCTGCTTGATTAGATCTGAATGTTGAATCGAAACAAGTTGGTATAAACGGACTATAAATCACGGTAGAAGGAACACAATTGCTTGGATCGTCCGATCGCGAGTACTCGCAGAGTCGATAGAGGAGTTCAGGATATTTACATTCGATATACGATCATGATCGATCGGATGCCGGTAATCACGGCACGCTTGGAATAAAATATGTAAGGAATGTACGTGTATAACGAGCTGTCTTCGGTGCAAATGTCAACATATAACCAGCAAAACAGCTTTCGAGGAATGGTTTATGAAACGGTAGATCGAAAGCTACGCGTAGACAGCAATGACGTTGGAAACTCGGTTTTACGATCTATTTTTTTTTTCTTCTTTTTTTATTTTGAATCGCATTTGCGATACATTTATGCGTTGTTCGGTATCGATAACGAAATCTATAGTCGAAATTCTAAAACTGATCCGTCAACGTAAGAGGACACAAATCGTATTCAAAATTTTAATGAGCGAATAAACATATGTTAATTCGGCATGATACTTTCAGTGATGAATTTCAATCATCAACCGTTCTGTAGAGTATGGAACGGATAATTACTATGGTTTTTTAGTATTTTACTATGTGTTTTTAATCGCTGTAGATTTTAAGATAAAAGTTATCTTTCTTGCGTGAAGTACCGGCGCGTATAATCGATCGATGGCTCTATCAATATCGCTGATTAAATCGACATGGATCTTTGAGGATTTTGGAACTTTCTTACTACTCGGAAGCATTAGAAATAATTATACGAAGTTATAAGAAACGAGGCTGATGATTTTCATTTCCTTAGAATAGAATATATACGGTAGAATATAAAGATTCGATAAAATTGATATCACTCTTTTTTTTTTTACTTGAAAACAAAAAGGAAGAGGAGGAGAAGGAGTGTATTCTTTTGTTTGACAAACGTGTCGAACAATAAATCACGCACCTACGCCTTAGCCTTCGGCTATATCGTCACAAGAACGAGGAAAAAGAAGCTTGTAACTCGTTTCGTAAGTAGAGTCGTGTTTTACGGAGCATTGACGTCACTGGTGTATTCAGATTGCATTGTTGCAGATAAGTTTCAATCGAGCACCGTTCCAGTTTTAACGTTTAACAACGGGAGCCACCAGATAAGCCAGATTCACTGCATATCCAACCCGATAAGAGAATCCGAGGGGAAAAACAGGATTCATTCGTAATTCACACTTCTAAACATTTTATGTTATATTGGCCTTATATACTGGCTACAGAAAGTATTGGAACATACACTTACCTTTTAATAAATAAAATTTCATTTTCATAAGAAGACATTTTTTTGAATCGTACGAAAGTGCTGCTAGCTAAACTACCGATACGAAATGAATAATATGTTTTAAATCTAATTAATTAGCGTGTAGATGCTATAATAAATACAATAGTGTACCAATGCTTTCTATAGTCACTGCATAGCAACTTGTATTGTCGAAACGCACGGTTATCCCCTTTTTATTATTATTATTATTATTATTTTTACTAATATTATTTATTCTGTATTATTATATTATTTCGCAAAGCGTCACAAATAACGCGGTAAAATAGTGGAAAAGAAGTGCGCGCAACGCGCGCAAACATCACGATCGCGGAAGCGCGATGTTTTTCTTTAGAAGCTTGCGTCGTCCTCGATAAAACGGATGGCGAAATTTTCATCCGAACCATACACCAGAAAAGCGACAACGACCTCGGCTCAAGTGCGTCAATGCACGAGCAAGACGATTTGATAAAAGTGCAACCGTAGCTTGTCTTCTTTGCGAAAGCGAGGCGAATTGTTGTCTGGAAATAATGGGATAAGATCGCGTACACGCGCCTTATATTATTTGCTGATTTTTATTCTTCGTGACTGAATCGCGAACGCCGACCTCTTTTCGCGCACGAAATATCGCGCCGCTGATCTTAGTAGATTGCACGTCGTTTACAGAAAAATTGCTAGGAAATAAGTACAGGAAAGTTCAGGTTTAGATTAAACAAAATTTGGATACTTATCTTCGATTCTATCGTGTTCTTACTCTTATAGTATACCTATCTATAGTATATCTATTGTAACGTAAAATTGCACATTTTTCTACTTTTAATATAATAACGATCGAGGGATATCTTTGTTCTTTGAACCATTTTATTTGTAAGAAGCGCGAAACACGCAAAAGTTATAAAACTTACGTCGAATGATAAAACCAAGTATTTAAAAACTGTGTATATTTTTTAATGTCTATTGAAACGTGGCGTCCGTTTCACATCCATTTCGCATAGACTAGAAGAGCACAGCAGGATTGAAAAAAAAACCAGAAAGAATAATTTTCAAAAAACTACAGAGTCGAGTTTCCGAATTCCTGTTAACCTTTGGTCTACGACGAACAATCTGGGCAATGTACGTCTTTTCAAAGACACTGGAAGAAAACTCGTTTCGCTATTAACAATTTTAATCATTTTGTTTAGAACTGTATAGATTTAACGATTTTAAGTTTCAACTTAGACTGCAGAGTTAAGCGATAGTACACGTCGAGTTACAACGTAGGTCTTCAAAGATCTGCCGAGTTCAAGTTCGTATATCTAGATATTATATTGCGCCGCCTTCGCATCGATTTTTATGCAAGCGAAAAAGTCATAAATATCAGCCACTCGTTGATTATCATCCGTTTGGATGAAATTTGAACATCACCTATAAGAGATTGGTACAACCCCTATGGAAAATATTCATTACGATCGATTCTTTTTCTTTCTTACGTCATATCCTTCGAATGTTAAGGTAAAAAAATGTATTAAATCGCTAATGGCTGTATTGTTTAGGTGCACATAGGTCAACATCAACATACAGGGTATTCGGGCTGTTCCCAGCTTTTTTTTTGTAAACGATCAGTATGCGGAAAAAATGAAAGGGGAAACAGATGAATGATTCGAACTGAGCTACATGTTGGCGCGATAAAATTTTGTTCACAGCAGCAAAAATGTATATGCATCTTGCAGTTGCGCTATTTTTTTGAAACGGAAACCTTCTCTGTTTTTTGCACACATCGAAGCCTCTCGTCGTTCTACGAAAAAAACATGTTCGAAGATTCGGTAGTCTAAAAGATATTGTAACTTTAATTTTGTAAAATTTATCGGAAGGCAAAGAAAATATAAATACGAGAGTACTTCGTTACATATTTCTTCGTTCTCTATATGATAAGTTTTGTATAAAATTAGTTAAAATCTCTTTGAAATCAATCAGTTTTCGACCATGTTTAATATTTGATTTTTTCAATTGATGAGACGATCCGACGAATGCAAAAAAGATATTATCGTGAATATGTATTTCGGTCTAAACCGACCATCTGTTTTTCCGCTTTTTTCCTCATACTTGTCGTTTACCATAAGAACGCTGGCAACTAATAACATAAACACCTTCTATGATAAAAATGGGAAAAGTAAAAAAAAAAAGAAAAGAGTACGAAGTAAGGCAAATGCTAAACGATGTTAATACGTTTAGTATCATGGATATTTTTTTACCAAAGACAGGAATTGTTGTAAGTCGGTTTGCAGAGTGCTTATTCAGTCTTAACGCTCAATTAGTAAGACGATACGCTTTTTACGTAATCGGACGAATTGAATTTGATCCTACTTAAAATACTATAGAACGTGCAGTTTCATGTATTTTATGCTTATAGCTGCACGTGCATATGTTGTGACGTGTGTGTGTATATGTAAAAAATGGATTAACTTTGTTTAAAGCTAATAAGTTACGAACCTGAGTATATTACACGTATATGTGTCTTTATTAAATTTGAATACGTACAATAAAATTATCATTAAATTACCTATATATTTTAATTTGTTGTTAATCGTAAATTTTACTCTGTTTTTTACTTCCATCTTATTTAATGCCCAGCCATAAAGTAACAATAACAGACACGATGATCTAAAAAAACATTTTGAAAATTCTCGATTTTATTTTAGTAGGTTGATGTTAATGTGTTGTTTAGGAGTTCAAGATAATCGCATATCACGCTTTTAATAACCAATTTTTTCCGAGATAATAGTGACGATAAAATATGACGTAAAATTAATAAATCGATGTTGTTATGGTACTGTGTTATGCTACGTAAATCTTTCATCATAGTCATGCCTAAATTTTTTTTTTATTGCATCTACTAGCTATTACGTGCGTTATGATATGCAAATAAATATGCATTGCACAAATACGAAAGGTTGCTACGATCCTCGGGAACTTCTCCCTGCGTCAGAAGAAAATAATCTTCTTTTTTCATAGATGACATTGATTAACAGTAATTACAATCAATCGTTATGCAATTTTTTCAAGCGCATGTAAATTTCCTCCTGTAGTAATAAAATTCTAGAATAGTGTAACTAATTTATACGATACATTCAAATTCCTCCGTGATGTATTAACGTTGTTATTGTATATTGTGTCTTTCCCCAATTTCCATATTTATAACTTTTGCCCTTTTTTTATTCTGCATAGAAGTAAAAAATTTATTACAATTATATATCAGGTTTTAACGTTAACAAAATCTCGAAGCAATAGCATATTTCTGGATATTTCTCCTTTTGTTTAATACTTTTTTAGATACTAGTAACAACTTTCACAGCGAAAGACTGTTACGCGGTCGAATTAAGGAAACGAACAACTATGTCTGTAATGTGTTCTAAGAAGAATAACAATCTTGAAATTCAGAATAGACGAAGCGGAAATCAAGACAAGAACAAGATGAAAACGAGGCAGAAACATGATAAAAGAGGCAAAAACAAGGTATAAACGTGATAAACGAAGCGAGGTAGAAACGAGGTCAAAAAATGTCGTAACACGAGTATAAGAAATATAAAGAACAACAAAAAGCCAGTTTCTCAATTAAAATGACGCGGAAATTAAATACTAGATCGACGTCAATGACATGATGCATATGTATATGTATATTACTTGTTGTCGCTTTAAGCAAATGAGGGCTCTAAAATGTCGATCAATGATCCCCTACAAACGTGACCCCACAGGAAAAAAACAATTTATAAATCAAGCCTGACTTTATATGTACTATCATCAATCGAAAGCCATTCGATCATGTGGTTATATTTTTTAACGATAACACCAACACGCTATTTGTTATTAAATAGACATTTTCCAATTCGTCAACTAAATATAGTATCGTGTATTTGCCTATATGTATATTCTATGTTTTACGTATGTAAAGCGAAGAAAATAAATTTTCTTTTATACTTTAAATCTGTAGAACCTGAATATATAAATTTTATATTAATACGATATTAGTACAAGTTTGATAATAAATATTATTTGGTAAAACATCTTCTGAAAAAAGAAAAAACAGAATAAGAAAGATTGGCGAATGATTTTTACGTAATAGATAAGTTTTGAGAGATATTTGTCTGGATTTTTCACGCTCTGCAATTATGATTAGGATTAATATTACTGTATTACATAATTAAATTGTAAAGAAAACAATAATTTATCAATGAAAAGGTACTAATTCGTTGTCTATTCAATTACTTGAGAAATAATTATTCTTCTCGTCTGTTTTATATTGTTGTTACAGCAGGTAATTTATTTCTATTGAACAATTTTCCTGACAGTCTGCATGTGTAAGTGGGTTTCATATTAAAGAATATAAAAGAAAAGCGAAGTATAATTTAATTTACTGGGTAATACTGATCATTATCATTATAGAGACATTGTATGTTTACTCTGATATTATATTCTCCAGTGACGCATTATTACGATAAATGTAGGTATCTCGAAGTATCAAATAAATTTGACATCTTTGTAGAAACTTACATGCTACGATATCGAATTCCAAGATATATTGACTTTTTTTTCTGAATTGTGTAATCAGTATTAAGATTTAAGTGCTCGAGTACTTTCATTGAACCAAGTTATGGTTACAACGTGCTTGGCATTTTCAGATAAAAGGAATAACACATGCTCTGTACGATGAGAATAAACGATTAATTTAAGAAGCTACATAATCGTAACTCTTGTCAATGACGATATGAACTTGCCGATAAAAAAGCTGATGTATATATGTATACATATATATATACGTATATATACACGTATATATATATATATATATATATATATATACGTTCGATAAATAAAATCCATGTTAATATACTGTTCCTTAATCATTCTGAAGAACCTCCGCCAACGATATCCGAGATTATTATGATACGATGTATCATTAGAAGCACGACAATTTCGAAGCAGCACGCTCACAAAGATTTATCTTTTATCAATCGCGTATACAGTTTCGTAATCGATAAACATTCCACCTTAGCCCATAAA